GTGTGTCAGGTGGTCTGAGGGAGATGTGGCCAGGTGGTTCCTGTCCACCTGGACATGAGCTGTGACTCGGGCTCAGACAGAGGTAAGGCCAGCAGGGGAGCTACCTGTCCATCTGGGAACACTCCTAGAACCTCCCTTGCGCAGAGCCTAGGCTATTGTCACTTGGGCGTTCCCCTTGGTGGGATGGAGTGAGCCTCGCCTTGCCCTTCTCAGTGTGACTTATTCAAGCATGCTTTCTTTCCAATTACAGAAGTTGGGAAATTTTTTACTTCAAATAACAATAACAAAAATAAAGCCAATTTTAAAAATAAGTGGGCCTCTCCCCTCCCTGTCCCATTTCTGGAAGTCCATAGATCAGCAACAAGTGGCATCGCATCTGAAGCTCCGTGTCAATACCAGTCACTATGAAATGTCTAAGCTTTCTCTCGCAGCACTGACTTAGGTGGCTGCTAAAGCGCTGGTCTTCCTGACCACAGCCAAAGAGGAAGAGGGCAGAAGGGAAAGGGGTCGCCCCTGTGTCAGAATAATAGCACATTTCAGGTAATCCCAGGAGAGAACTGTTCTTCTGTGATTTGGGCCAGAACTGGGTCACAGGGCCAGGTGTGCTGTAAAGAAATTGGGGGAACAAACTCAAGTTTGAGAAGCTTTGACAAATGCAGTCCGGGTAGTATGTTAGAGCTCTGTGCTATATGTTCGGCATGCGCCATAGCTCCATGTAAGTTAGCAGATGAGTACATTATGATAATTACCATCATGTGGGCTCACTACTTGCTGGACATTTCACCTGATCTTTATCCTAAACCCCTGCCTTTTAAAAACTGCACTGGAGAGCAATGGATGCAAAGGCCTGGAGGGAGTCCAGTGTCAAAGTGAAGGACACTTCCTCTGTCAGCAGAGCCCACTGGTCACTGCCCAGTGGTCATGTGTCCCCTTGAATCTGTGTCCCACGCAACAGAAAGCCACCTCTGCTTAAGTCAAGGGATTTTACTGGGATCTGGAGGCAGCATTGAGGCTGTGGCTGGCTGGATGCCCTATTGAGACTGGTCAGACTCTCTGGGGGTCTCTCTGTGGGTTGTTTTGCTGACACTTGAGCAACAGAAGAGGCTGGGCCAACCTCAAGGAGAGAGGGAGGAGGAGGGAGCCAGAGAGAGAGAGAGAGAGAGAGAGAGAGACAGAGACAGAGACAGAGACAGAGAGAGAGAAGAAGGGGCAGAGGGGGATGATGGAGGGAGGGAGAACAGGGAGGAAGGCATGGAGGGGTGGAGGGAGGGAGAGAACCTTTCCTGTTTTGATTTCTTTTCCTACATATAGCTATTCCCTTAAAGTTGTATTTCAAGCCTGGCAGTGTTTTCCTAGCTAAAGTTTCTGTGTGACACAATGACATTCTGTTTTTCATGAAAGATTTTCCTGGCATTGTTTGGGCTAAAAGGAGGAAAAAACAAACAAACAAAAACAAACAAACAAAAAGCACACAAACATCTGATGAAACCTAAGCATAATCTGTCCTAATATGGTGAGGTATGAAGCTGTACGCCACAATTTTTTGAAAGGATCTGGGGACCAGCATTACACAGTGTGTCAAGAGAAAAGGTTGTCATCTGTAGCACGGTGGGGAAGAGAGCCATCCCACAAATGCAAAAGCTCTCTCAAGGCCGCCTGTCCCAAAAGTGCTGTCTGGCTTCTGTGCCAAAAATAACAGCTTCTCACTATAGCTAAGGGATTCTTCTCGCTATAGCTAAGGGATTCTTCGGATGACGATCTTTGCCAGCTGCTTAAGGCCAGTGTCGCACACCTGTTCCTGCTGTTAGCACTTTCTTGAAGGTCTCCTTGGCAACCCATTGGCGTGTCTTTTGCGTGGGTGGGGAACTACTCTGCAGCCAAACTGATGTTTTTTTTTTTTTTTTTTTTTTTTTTTTTTTTTGCTCTAAGCTTATCTTCTCTTGTGGCTTTCTTGTTATTTCCCAAGTAGGCGATTTCAAACTCTTTCAGTTCTTGCATACATTTGCACATTTGCTTAGACTCCACGGTAAATTTTTCTACTGCCTGCAGCCATTGACATGGCATGCAAAAATAAATAAATAAAAAAAATATCTCTGAACTATTTTTTGAGTAAGGGAAACCAGAACTGTGTGGGGGCTGAGAGATGACTCAGGTAGTTAAGAGTAGTGCTGCTCCTGCAGAGGACCCAGGTTCACTTTCCAGCACCTAGACGGCGGCTCACAACCTCTGTAACTCCAACCCTAGAGCCGGTTACCTCCAGTTACCTCTTCTGGACTCTGCAGGCACCGTATATGTCAAGCAAAATACCCACACACATAAATGATACTAAAAATGTTTATAAAGAATTGTATGCGGTGATATTGGTATAATTCAGATGGGGAAGGGGCCTCAATTTTGTTTTATATAATTATTGATTTTAAATTTATACTTAGACTGTGTTATAATTCTTAGAACTGTAAAACTATTTTTTAAAACACACACACACACACACACACACACACACACACACACACACACACACACACACCGTATGATGCTAGGGATTCAACCCGGGATCTGTACAAGCTATGCTGTAATCTTCCATCAGGCCCAGCCTCCTATGAATGTGTATTTATTTTTTTAAAGAAGTTAGACTATGGAGCCCACGATTAGGCATCTTTCTCGATAATCATATGCTTTTATCTGGATAGGATGCTTGGAGGACAGTGGATTGTGAATAATGGTACCCTTTCAACGTTACGAGAATCCTGTGTTGATTTACCCGGTGTCAGTTTGTTAATGGTGTTGAGAATTAGCCATGTTACAAAAGGAAAACACACACAGCCAACAAAGCCTGGGGAGCATTGGAGCCTGTTGGTCACATGTCCCAGCTGCACGAACAGGTCTGCCTTACCCAAGTGTAAGGGATTCACAGAGTAATTTATCAAGTTTATCAAACAAGGCTTCCCAGAATTCTTTTTCATTGCACAACACATATTTTAGAAGTGAGTATTTTATATTTTTTTCTAAAACATTTTGAGTTTTAAAAAGTAAATTTTCTGCTGCCAGCTAACGTCAGAATTAAACTATTTATGATCAGGCCTCAGGGAAGGGTCAGCGACGCAGGCACAGGCTCTTACAGATGGGAGGTTTTGGTCCTGGAAGTAGAGCATCACCCTTGCTTGTCTTGGGTAATCTGCCAATGTATCAGTGACCTTTGCCAATGCTGCAGGCCATGGCTAAGTTTGATGACAGTCCCCTGCTCCCAGCTTATCAAATGTAGCTGTCCTGGGAGCTCTCCCACCCAGAGTTGGACACTACTGTGCCTTTTCTCTGGTTAACCCATTTCAGGGTGTGTGTGTGTATGTGTGTTAGTGTGTGTGTGTGTGTGTGTGTGTGTGTGTGTATGTGTTTGTGTGTGGTGTGGAGTGTGTGTGTTTGTGTGGTGTGGTATGGTGTGGTGTGTATGTGTGTGTGTTTGTGTGTGGTGTGGGGTGTATGGATGTGTATGTATGTGTGAGATCTGTTTACACATGATGGCCAGGTTGACAATCTCCCTTCTAAGGGTTTGCTCCCATTGACAAGCCTGACTAGACTTCATATTTCAAAGGTGCTGCAACCTCTAGTTAGCACCCCAGCTGAGGTGCAGACTATTAATTAACACCAGGGCTCTCAGGAATGGTTTAAGATCTGAACTATAGCAAATAAGAACACAGGGTTTTATCAAATAAAGACAGAAATTCTGGCTTCGTTGTTGGGGACCCAGGTGTACCAACCAGATGAACATTCTGCTCTCGGGACATGGAGTACTTGTCAGTTACATCCCATAAAAGTCTGAGGTTCATTTTGTGTAATTGGTGACCACATTTTGGCATCTCTGTGTCTCTTTTTAAAGCAAGCTTCCTTAGACTATTTCTATGTCCTGGGTGTTCACGCACAGCCAGCCCCATGAAGCCGCCCACACAGGGTTTGCCCTCAGCTGCTGCTCTCTTACACTGGTGGGGTGCTGCCTGCGGTGGGTGAGTGCTCGTGGGGGGAGCCACACTGCCCACTCAGCCGTTGGACACACACTCAGTGGGGATGTGCTTCCCCCTACATTTGCCAACGCTCTCTGAGCTCTGGCTGGCTCCTTGCCCACTTCCTAATCCCACGACAGGTTACATCTTATTTTTATTCACTACCTCATATTCTCCGTAGCTCATTTTATAAAATTATTATAAATATGTTGTTTATTTACAATCAAAAAATACAGCTATAGCACTTACCACCTTAAGCCCTTGTAAGTATAGTCCGGTGTCATTAAACGCCGTCCTAATACGAAACTATCACCATCACAAATCTCTTTGCACATTGCAAATCTGAGCCCCTACCCGCCTACCCTGTCTCCTGGCGACTAGTTTCTGTCTCTGTGAATGTGACCATACTCAGTACTCACATGAGTGGAATCACACGTGCTCTAGCATCTCTGTGAATGTGGCCTCACTGGGAACCGTTTTCAGTCATCCTGGGGTGTATTCCAGGTGGGGAGTTTCCGGGTTGTGTGGTAATGCATCTTTTAAAAGTGATTTTCTGAGGGACTGTGGTAGTTTTCCCAGAGGGGTGGGCCGCCTGATGTTTCCCACCAAATGTACGCCAAGTTTCCAGTCTCTCTGCATGATTGCCAGCATTTCAAGCCCCTTATTTGTCTCCCCTTAATAGGTATGCCGTCAGCTGACTTTCTACCCCTTTGCCATCATCTGAGGCACTTTTCAGAAACAAGCTCTAGTGGTCCACATTTCTACTGACAAGTGTGACTTACCATCTTATGTGTGATGAGCATTTTTAAAATTCTTGTGAATGTTCATATAGCTGTATGAAGTATGGGGGGGGAGGGATGGCCCCTCCCCGAGTGGAGCTCATCCTGTTAAGTCCCTCCTGCTAGTGCTCACTGCTCTGTTGACTCAGCCTAGAGTTCCTCCCCTCCCTCCCCTGGTGACTTTACACAGGCACCTGGTCTCATTCAGTTGCTGTTCTTTCTGCAGAAAATCCATTCCTCGATGCCGAAGAATTAACAGGATGCTCTCCAACGAGTCCCTACACCCTCCTGCCTTCAGTCGCTCCAACTCTCAAGCCTCCGTGGACAGCAGCACATCGGTGGACGAGTTCTGGCGGGAAATAGAGAGTATTAAAGAAAGCAGTGTGGCTGCACAGGAGGAGCAGCCATCCACCACGCCCACCACGCCCACCACGCCCACCACCGAGGTCAAGCCTGTGGATGGTAAGGGACTGGCCTTGCCCTGTGGGTTTCCTGTCGGGGAAGAAGTCAGCCCACCAAGTCTATAATCAGTAGAGGCTGGGGTAACTGCTGGGAGCCACTGAGGAAGGTCAGGCCTCAGCATCATCCCTACAAGAGTCCTTAAGTGTCCTTGCTTGTGGGGGAGAGGTCCCTCCCGGTGGGCTCCTTTTCATCACACAGGCTGGTCATACCAACGCGCCTGACATTGGCATCTGTGTGCTTGACATTTAGGGGCGTGAGAGGGAGCAGGGAGGAAGAGAGGAGGAGAGAGGTTTGCCTTTGATTTTAGAGGGAAATGTTTGAAACATTTGTTGCCATTGATATGTTAGACTGCTTGGTATTCCACCAAATAACAATCTGGGTAAGTATTGAGGGCAGAGACAAAACCCAAAGCAAACAACAGACAAAAACAAACAAACAAAGAGCATAATGGTAACTGGCTCTCAGGATCCTGGGCTGAAAACACAGCCCGGGCGCCTCCTGCCTGGCTTGACCTTGTGGCTGTATAAAATGTCCAGGGCTGTTTCATCTGTCAACAGTTACCCCTAAGACAGCTACCAGCTTGAAAAGCCTTCTCAGCCGTCATTCTCTTCATGAGCATCCATGTTAGGAAATGGCTCTCCAGCAGCAAAATGTGTGTGCGTGCTTATTCCCGTCGCTTCCGTTTGCCTTTTCACCTTTTCAGGCAGACTCTTGATGAGGAGGAGAATGCCTCTTGTTCCATATCCCTGCTCTTTTTTTTTTTTTTTTTTTTTTTTTTTATGCTAACAACCCAGAAAGCTGCAAGTCTATCTGAGGCCTCAGAGTTTGCTGGCTTTCTCTCCTTATAAAGTAACATGATGAGGAACAGGGCTCTTATTCCCACCACACATACGTTTACCATTTGTTAAAGCCCAAGGGCTATGGGAGATTCTTAGATACTTTTTGCTAGCGTAAATTGCTACAAAGTGCAGGCTCGGTGTCTAGAGTTAATATTTATTGAAAGCACTTGTGAAAATGTGAAGATCTTAAGTGCTCATTGCAGGTCAGGGATCAAGATTCATTTTTCCAGGTTGTGCACATGTCTATAATCACAGCACTCAGGAGGCCAAGGCAGGAGGATGGCTAGTCTGAGACCAACCTGTACTGTGTAATAAGACCTTATTGCTCAGAGAGATGGGGGTGGAGTGCATTCAACCAGAAGACTTCCGGTTCATCCTTGCCCATCACACCTCCCCCAGTGATGCCGTCTAGGGCCAAAGGTAGCCACGGTTCCCATGTTGTGTCATAGGGTTTATGGCATTGCACTCAGGATTTATGAGATTCAGCCAGTCTATCAGTAGGTCGTTGCTTTTTGGCTTGGGGTAGGTTGCGTTTGTTTCTAGAGGTGCATTAAGAAGGTGCCACAAAATTGGGTGGTTTTCAGTGACATAAATGTGTTCCTTACAGTTTTAGAAGGTAGAACTAGAAAGCCAGCCAGCTCTTGCCCTCTGAAGCTGTCAGGAGAATCCTGTGGCTGCTGCTTTCCTGGTCCTGCTTTCCTGGAGCTGGCAGACATTGGCACCCTTGGCTCTACATAGGCAGAATGCTCTGCCATGTTCTGCCTCAGGCTGCTCAGGTGTTTGTGACTGTGTTCCCTTTTTTCAGAGGTGCCAATTGTAACGAATTAAAGGACTTACTCTATTCTAATACAGCCTTTCTGTATTTGGTTTGGCCAAGGGGTTTGTTTTGAGTTTTGCTTTGCCATACTTTGAATGGAAACCACGGCTGGGCAAGTACTCTGGCACTGAGCTATATCCAGCCTGAAATGTTGTGTGTGTGTCGTGTTTTAGAAGCTGCCCTTTCTTTCATTTTTAATTTTTATCTTTATTGAAGTATGATGAATAAATTGAAAGTTTATGATATACATATTTTAATGAATAAATTCAACTACAATTTTTCTGTAAATGTCATTTCCTAACAAGCCTACACTCATGATGCTGAGGGTGGTGGTTCCAGCAGATGTTGGAGGATGTTTCGGCTCTTCACAGTATAGTTCACTAAATGAACACGTCATGTTCTCCTGACCTGATAATAGCATTGTAAATTTACTTTTTTTTTTATTATAGTTTTAAGCACTTAAAAATGGATGATTTGAAAAATCTTGTTGAAATTATTTGTGGACATACATTTTTATTTCTCTCAGATACATGAATTTTTATTAAATGTGTTTAACTCTAAGTAACTGCCAGCATTTTTTGAAAATTAGTTGTTCCATTTTGCAACCTTCCTGCAGATTAAGAACAGACTTCCTTTTTTTCCCAAATCTTTGTAAAATTTGACATTATTAGTTTTCTTAATAGGAGTTATTCTAGATATGGGGAAGTATCTTATGATAGTTCTGATTGCATGGCATTGATGGTTAATGACTAATGATGTGTTTATTGGCCTTTCATGAACTTTGTGAAATATCTCAAGTATTTAAAAACATTATCCTTTTATTACTGCCTTGTAGGAACTCTAAATGCAGTAAAGATACGTATGTGTGTGTGATGAATGCATTGCAAAAGCTTCTTTGACTTAATTCATATTCTTTAAAAAAGATTTATTTTTATATTGTGTGTGTAAATGCTTAGTTCCATGTATGTATGTGGACTACATGTGTGGCTGGTGCCTGTCGGGCCAAAAGCTGGTGGAATCCTGTGGAACTGCTGTTGCAGGACACAGTGAACTGTAATATAAGAGCTGGGAACTGAACCCAGGTCCTCCAGGACAGCAGCAAGTGCTCCCAACCATTGAGCCATCTCTGCAGCGCAATTCATCTTCTTAATGAGAGTCTTTAATTGGCCTCCTCAGATGTGTAGACATATAGCTGTTGTTTTTAATCTTGACCTCATATCCCTTCAACTTCCGAAATTTATATTTGCATTTGCAAGGACTCACTTAGTGACACTGTGGAACACGGTTTGCAGGGGCCTGGAGAGTCTAGGAAGAGCTGCTGGGAATTTGTGGTAGACGTCGGGAGTCGGTGACAGCTTTGACAAAGGCCACGGTAGAACAGATAGAGGGAGGCAAAGGAAGCTGGGGTATCAGTAGTGCATTGCTGTAATACAGAACTGGAAAGGCTGAGGCAGGAGGATGGTAAGTTCAAGGTTAGCCCGGACTACAGAGGGTGACCCTACATCAACTGTACAGAGTAAAGTGAAGGAAGGAGGCTGGAGAGTCTTGGGATGTGATCCGGGAATGCTATAAGAAGCCTTGGCAGAGTGTTGGAGCCGGTTCCTCTGGGGCACGCCTTTGCCTCATCGGTAGTTGGTGGAGGTGGGCTTTGCATGTTGAAATGTGGAAGACCGACAGAGGACCAGGGTAGGGGTTGAAGACCCACGAAGTCAGGCTTGAGCATGTTGAATATAACACGATTGATAGAATCAATCGGTACTGAATAGGCGATTGGATACTTGGGGCTAAAATCGATGGCGGTGCTGTGGGTTGAAGATGTACATATGGCAGCTGGAAGGGAGACCAGGAGACTTCATTCTTCATAGATCAGCAAACAGGGGTCACACCAGCATCTGCTGTGGACATTTCTCACCAAGGGAAACATTCCAGCTATGTTTTGCCCTCGGGGAAGATCCGAGGTTTTAAGCTATCAGTTCCCATGATTTGTGTTAGCTCTGATGCCTCTTTCCGCTGTTCTCTCATTATTCCTGGCGTAAGTGGGGAGAAACACAGTCTAATCTTCCAAGCAGTAACGTTGGTTTATATCACTGACTTCACCGTGAGGCGTGACAGCCTTACCCAGGGCTTTACGTAACAGAACCCCTCCCAAGTCATTCTAGGCTTGACCTCACTCTAGTCCAAGTATTATCAGTCCACACCAAAGCTGGAATTACCTTGCCTTTCTTTTCTATTAAAGGGGCAGTTTACAGAGCAGCCAAGTTAAGAGAAGCAGGGTAGTAAATAAAATCTTTGCCAAGCTAGGAAATGGGACTGTGAAAGCGTGTTCAGCCTGTCTGTTTATATACAGATAATGCAACCGTGTAAGCAGAGTGCAGGACTGTTAGGCTGCAGCTTTGAAATGTGTTTACACATCAGTCTAATCTACTCATCAAACAGCCCTCGTTTGTGATAAGCCTGTTTAGCAGAGTTCCCAGGGAAGTGTGTGCCGTGGATTTTCTGCACAGGATATGTACTCTGAAACCCTTTAACTCTCTTCCATTTTGTTTACAATGGTAATTGACGCTTACCGATGAACCTGTGGTTTTGAATTGCCTTCTGAGAAACGGACAGATGATTATCTCATGTTCATAGTATTAGGCAAATGGGAAGCTATTAAATATTTTATGCCAGGTTCACAAATAGTTTCTCAGAAAAGTATCCTGATGGCTGCACACTAGTTCTATTGCTAACCCTATTGTGGTGTGTGCCTCCACATGAGCAGTGTTCTCTCTCAGGAGGGAGGCTTCACACTGTGGCCCCGCCCTGGTGGAGCCCCAGGGTGGTGGGTGTGCACATTGTAGGTGTGCCTTTCACAGGGTACTTCTTCACCTTGGTGGGTGGCTTGATGGCTAAGGGTCCGCAGCAAATAGCACAAATACGTGTTTAGCGATTCCCTTGTGCTCTGGATTGGCTTATGTCCAGGATGTTGGTCAGGGGATGCAAGGAGGCAGCAATACCTCAGACAGATGGATCAGCAGAGATAGCGTATTACCAATAGACACCCAGGGAGAAAGGGCCCGAATATCTTCCAGGGTCAAAGGGAAGAGGAAAAGACATCTAGGGCTCTTATAGTCAACCAGTGGGTAGGAATCTAGAGCCCGGGGTTAGGGTTCCTGTGGGACAGAGTCCTGACCGGGGTCCGGCACTCACATTAACAAGTTTAGAGCAAGTGAGTTTCCACTTGGTGGAGTGAGGGTATGATGGGGGAGGGGGAGGCAGCCACATCTTTACAGTCTGGTAGGTTGCCTCCAGCCACCCCGCAGTGCACGGTCAGGGAAGATGGTGCAAACTGCGCTGAGGCAGCCAGAAGGCAGAGGAAGCTGGAAGTCTGTTGGCGGTGAGTGAGCCCTCTTCTGAGAGGAGAGCCCTGAGGCTGTGCAGAGCCCCACAGTGGAGGGAAATGCATGGTGCCCTTGCTCAGGGGAAGCTGGCGACTGGAATCATTTTGTAATGTCTGTCAGCTGCTCTATGGCGGATTTGCAGCTGCATTTGAGTAGCTGCTAAACCGTGCCTTTTCTGTTATGATTTTAGTCAAAATGTTCTTACCTTTTCTTTGTTTGGAATTGGAAGTCCCATCCACGGCTTATCTCCAAGCTTCTAACTGGGAAAAGTGCCTTACATGGTCGCCAGGTAACCTTGCTCTACTAGGCAGCATTATATGATTTTACTAATGCTTAAGAAATGAGTACAAACTTTATTCTTTCATAGCTATTGCAGAAGAAAAGACCACCTTAGCCGGCTGTGGTGGCACGTGCTGCAATCCCAGCATTTCAGGCGTAGAGGCAGGAAGGTCTTGAGTTCAAGACCTTGTCTCAGAAAGACAGCTATGTGGTTTACTGATGCTTCCGAGCGTCTAGAAGCAATCCTAACCCCCCCCCCCCTTACTTGTGCTATTCCCAGAAGGAGAGCTTGAAGCAGAGTGGTTACAGGACGTGGGGCTGTCAACCCTGATCTCCGGGAACGAAGAGGAAGATGGCAAAGCACTGCTGTCCACGTTGACTCGGACCCAAGCCGCTGCCGTGAAAAAGAGATACAACACGTATACCCAGACCCTGAGGAAAAAGACCAAGCAGCCTGTCAGGGACGTGAGAGACATCTTCGGAGTCAGCGAGTCTCCTGTACGTAGCAAACGTGGTTCCAAAGAAGTTTGCTTTGACCTAAGGGCGGGAGGGTGTGGCGGAGATGGAGAGACATGTCAGACGCGGCTGGGCCATCTTGACTCTCTGAGGGAGCTAGAGCCAGAGCACGGCTGGGCCTTGAGTAGTCGGTCGTCATCTCCATGGCTGCTTTTGCCTGCCCCCCAAGTGTACTCCCGCCTATGATGAAGTTGCTGTGCTGCTTCTTTGATAGTAGAGTGAACTTGTAAAGTTGAGAGGCTCGGGGCCTGAAGCTCAGCCTTGAACGGGAACTCTGAGCTAGGCACAGGGGCCCCAGGGGAAAAGACCCGAGGCCGTCTTCTAAGCAACTCTGAGAGGGATGTTTTAAATGATGGTAGGGAAATGAATAGAGTAGCCTTTAGGTTCAGAAAATTTAATATGAGAACCAAATGAACAATTAAAAATACAGTTAGGTATCATGGTCCTTATGAAACGGCTGATTAGAGTTCCACCCTGTCCATAGCAGTCCTGTGGTCAGTTTCTATCCTGGCACCATTAATATCTCTCTCTCTCTCTCTCTCTCTCTCTCTCTCTCTCTCTCTCACACACACACACACACACACACACACACATTTCTGCATCATCTTGGGTGACAGATAATTCTATCAGCATACTTCCTCTTTCCTTCTGTGAGCCATTTCAATGTCCCGCGACAGTGTGTCTCAGTACAGCAGATGTTTATTGAATGAACTCTATATGTGTGCCGCTTTCCCTGATGCTATCCAGAGAAGACTCATGGGACTCTGGGTTGCTGCACATGGCCAATAAAGGAAATTTGGTACTGTGCTACAGCAATGGAATGTGATATTCTGCCTGAGGGCAGGTCATTCAATCAGTCTGATTTAGGCTCTACACCTGTCCCCATTGCAACCTCTGTCATGACATAGTTTAAGGCATCGAGGATGTTAGGTAGTATCTTAGTTAGGTTTCCTCTTATGACCAAGGCAATCCTCGTAAAGGAAAGCATTTAACTAGGGCTTATTCAGTCCATTCTTCACCATGGCAGGGAGCTTGGTGCACGCATAGCTCTGGAACAGTCGATGAGAGCAACATCCTGGTCTGTAGGCCGAGGTGGGGCAGATATGCTGGGTCTACTGTGGGATTTGAAACCTCAAAGCCCACCCCTAGCTACACACTTCCTCCAGCAAAGCCACACCTCCTAATCCTTCTCTCTGATGACTAATTATTCAAATATGTGAGCCTATGGGGTCATTCTTATTCAGACCGACACAGATAGTGATCATGGATAAAGATTCCAATTTGTGTCTTTGCAGGTTGCTTGTAATGTTTTCTCTTAGAGACAGTCATCATAAAGGGTAGTTGTCAGGGAACTTGCATATACCCAGTGAACACATGCACCTGGGATAATAATATCCTGGAATAACACTGCCTTTCAGAACTTTCTAGAATGATAGCAGTCTTCTTTTTCTGCTGCCTAGTGTGACAGCCTCACCACATTTGCAGCAAGCAGTTTAACTGCATTTGATACTTTGTATAATCTTAGTTGATCTAAATCTAACCAGTCACATATGACTTGTAGCTCCTGTGATGAACACCAGATTGTTACATTGTCTGTTGGGCTATAACTTGCTGTGCATTGTGAGTTCTATGGCATTTGAATTTTCAACTTTGTTGATGTCCATGTCTTTCTGGATGGAAGGATTATTATTAGTAGTATTAGTATTATTTTCCTCTAGCAGTAATGGAGTAAAGATGGCTTCTGCACCTCGAAGCTGGGAGTTCAGCTGCAGATGTCCTGGCAAAGATGTCTGTCAATGAAAAGTTTGTCCTGATAGATTCAGTTTCCTGTGTTGCCTTTCCATTGCTTCTAGGCTCTTCTTACAGTGGTCTTGAAAACTTTGCCCACTTGCTTTCTTTGCCAAATCTGTTTCCAGCTACTTCAGACAAATGTCTGGGCTCTACTCCAGCAAACTGTGAGACAGAGAAGGTCTATAGGCTGGTCCTGACTCCTGTGTCTGCCCCTAAGGTGCTGTTCTCCACCTGGTGGTCGTCTGTGGAGAGTCTGAGGCACGTTTAGAAAGTGGGGTTGGCTGGTAGAAGTCATGGGAAAAAAATCAGGGTTTCTTGTTCAAATTGTTTCTGTTAGGCTGTAGTCATAGTGGTGAAACTAGCTAATATGCTTAAAACTGAATTTCTAAGCTGGGCTATGGTGGGGGTGTATGCCTTTAATCCCAGCCCTAGGGAGGCAGAGGCAGTGGATCTCTGTGAGTTCGAGGCCAGCATGGCCTATAGAGTGAGTTGCAGGACAGCCAGGGCCACACAGAGAAACTCTGTCTTAAAAGACCAAAACAAAACAACAACAACAACAAAAACCTTGAATTTCTAGTAACAACACAAAATAGTAGGTTATAGGGTCCTTTGTGGCCAGCCCTTTCTTTGACTCTGCCCTCTCTGAAGGGACAGATACAGTGACCACTTCTTTTTTCTGGGGTGGGGTTCAGTCAGCCGTGAACTGCTGTTTCCAGGCAGGACAGTGGATCTAGCTCAGCACCCAGCACACACAGGGTTAAGAGAGAGTGATGAGTGACATCAGAGCTTCCCTCCTCTCTGCCTTTGCCTCCCTTCTTCAGTTACAGCCCAGTTTCAGGGTGAAGTGGGAACAAGGGTTAAGGTGGGTGGCGGCAGGCAAAAGAGGGAGCTGAGAATCCTAGTATTGTGTGTGCTGCTTAAAAAGTCCAGGCTGCCCCTTGTCAGACACGCAAAAGCCACGTAAACCTAGCCTTTGCGAAAAGCACCTCGCCTTCCCGTTATATAAGGTCTGATCTTTTCCCTAAACGACTTCAGCATCTTTTGTGAGTAAAGAAACTCGATGCCTTGTAAGGAATGCACTGGAACTTTTTACCTTCCTGTTTTAACAACACAAACACCACCTCCTCTTGCTCGTCTGTCCTGATTTGCCTCTGGCCTCCTGCCCTGCCTCTCTTCCTCCCTCCTCTGCTTCCCCTGAGTCTGTGTCCCCTCTTCCTCATCTTCCTCTTCTCTGTTTCTCCCTTCCTCCCTCTTTCCTCTCATCATTCATTATCTTTGGTGCCCTTTGCCAACATTGAGTTAATATTTGCTTAAAATTTTCCATTTCACTTTCTTAGTAATTTTGAATTATATACATGTGTGTGCGTCTGTGTCTGTGTGTGCGCATGTGAGCACACCTGTACACGTGTGTGTGTGTGTGTGTGTGTGTGTGTGTGTGTGTGTGTGTGTGTGTGCATTTGGGTACCTCATTGTGCTGTACTAATAGACGTCAGAGGACAACATCCATGACCTTCTCCTACCATGTGGGCCCTGGGGAGTGAATTCAAGTCATCATGCTCCTTCGCCTGCTAAGTCATCTTACTGTCCCTAAATGTCTCAGTTTCAGGAGGAGATTCTGTACGGATCTTAAGTGTATGATTCAACCAGTGTACTTAGCAAGTGACAATATGAATTCAGTAGTTTGAAAAACAGGTGCTGAAATTATGTTAGTTTCCCTAAAGTTTTTACACATAGAATTCCGAGCTTACGTTTCCCCTTCCCTTGGAACTGCAAAGGAATCTTCCATCCCCTGTTCGGAATAGTCACCAGGGAGGTGCCATGCCTACCACAGGGCAACCCTGCTTCTTTAGCGACTAAGAGTAGAAGTGTTTTCATTTTCGTTTTGTATTCTTGGGATTTGAAACTGTGCCAGCTCCACCCTTTTGTGAAATTCACGGTGTCTGTACTAAATGAAGATGTTGAGCACTAACAAATATTTAAGCAATTCTGAACTCCTTTTGCTCGCCATGTATGGCCTTTGGAGCCCCTGCTAAGTGATTCTTCTGGTTGCACTGATCTCTGTCTCTCGATTCTTCTCTTTTGAGTTCCAGGGTTTGTGTGTGTGTGTGTGTGTGTGTGTGTGTGTGTGTGTGTGTGTGTGTGTGTGTGTGTGTTGCATTCTTGAGAATCCCTTGAACCTCAATTTGTGAATGTCAGTACTTTGGCCATGGTTGAGTTTGTAATTGGGAATTTAATTTTCAGAATTGAATACTTACTACTACGCCCATTCTCCGTTCCTTTGAGTTGTCTTTCTTTATGGTAATCTGTCTTTTGGTGTTGTTGGTTTTGTGTACAGGGATTAAGCCCAGGGCTCACACATGCCACCCCGCCCTGTGTGCCCAGCTGCACCCATACTTGTTTCTTGGCTGCAATAACCAACTAGCATGTTGAACACAGTGGCTCAAACTTAACCTCCCAATGCCTGCTCCTTTCTGTGAGTGATTTCCTTCCGGGTGATGGGATTATTTTTAGAGCCATTGTTTTCCTCTTCCCATTGTTATTGTTAGATTGGTTTTTTCATCCCTGGTTGTTGGTGTGGTTTTCTTCATGGATGACTAGATTGATTGCTTGTGACTAGTGGTTTAGTGACCATGTAGTTCGTGTGGACCCGATTCCTCACCAAAACTCTGCTGTGGGAAGGATTTGGGGTCTGTGCGTGGACAAGTGCATCATCACCTGTCACATTTTGCTTTAAGACATGTGACAATTAATGATTGAGTGACAAGATTCCCCAAGAACCCTGTCCTTTACAGGCAAAGCAAACTTCCCTTTCCTACTCTTGTCCCTGTCTTCCAAAAAGCCCCTGCTGAGCCGCGGTTCAGCCTCCCTGCCATCCATGACCACTACTTCCTCATCAGAACAGCCACCACTCTGCCAGCAAAGGTCAGTGTGGCACCCGGAGTTTGCCGTCCAGAGTTAGGTCAAGGAAAGACTTTGTCTGGCCCTCTTACCAAGAAAACAGCTTTTTGTTGTTGTTTGGTTTTTTGTTTGTTTGTGTTCAGTTTTTCATCGCTTTTTTTTTGAGTTGGGTTGCATTCCAAACCTTTTCCTTTCTTTCTGAATATGGAGGCTTGGGGACTAAGTGTGTAACTTCTGCTAATTTGTCACTTGTATCTTTTCCCAGGCTGAGCCCTTACCAAACCGTTTTTGGG